TGTGCACAAATTCAGCAATAATTTTTATATGACACTGAGATATGGCTGCAGAAAATACAGCTTTGCCATCAGAATGCTTTTCATTGTAAAATAAATTAAAATAGACAACAGGTATTTTAAATGGTAGTAATACTTCATGATACTATTTTTAAACTGCATTTTCATCAAATAAATGCAGCCTTGGTGTGAATAAGACACTTTTTTCAACAAAACATAAAAAAAAAAACTTTATTCCAAACTTTTGACTGGCAGTATATAAAATTAATACAAGCCATTAGGGAGGGTTCATTGTGTAAGAATTGATCCGGCCTGGTGTTCTATCTGTGTGCATTGTTAGCTAATGAGCAATGAGCCATCTGTTTAGGGAGTGTGAGGCTGGGAGGGGGAGCAGCTGCCCGTGTGTGTCGTTGGGGGTCGACGGGCGTAAAGATCTGTAATTTGCAGACTCATTATGTATGATGACAAACTCACCCCATGCCCTCCACCAGGATCACTATAGTCCCGGCCTGGTTTGAACTAAGCCGCCGTAAGCCTCAGCCATGAACTCATCCTTCTAGAAAAATAAACAAAAGCTAAATTACAAAGACAATCAGATTATTTTTGTGCTGTCCTAAAATGTGCAGTGCAAATGTGCCGCAGAAGGAATGTAGTGTATGAAATGTTCATTTTGTGTCACTGTCTGAGCTTATATATAACCCTGGACCACAAAACCAGTCATAAGTTGCACGGGTATATTTGTAGCAGTAACCAACAATACATTGTGTAGGTCAAAATTATTGATTTTTCCAAAAATCATTATGATATTAAGTAAAGATCATGTTCCATGAAGATATTTTGTAAATGTCCTACCTTAAATATATCAAAACAGATTTTTGATTAGTAATATGCATGGCTAAGAACTTCATTTGGACTTCAACTTTAAAGGAGATTTTCTCAATAGTTGTGATGTTTTTTTTTTTGCACCCTCAGATTTCTCTGCAAATATTGTCCTAACAAACCATACATCAATGGAAAGCTAAGCTTATATATTCAGCTTTCAGATGATGTGTTACCACCATCTAGTGGACAGATTATGAATTATATGTGATAGCTCAGAAATAAATGAATATTCAATTGTAAAGATTAATTTGTAATTTAAAAAAAATTCTAACTGTCCATATAAATATATGACTAAATAAATGAGCTGTTGCATTCAGCATGTTTGTGAGATACACTATATTTTGAGTAGAGTACTAAATAGATATTCAATATATAATATCAACTGGTGGTTTTGAGGCCATTACAACATTTGTATCTTAATCTCACATGGTGTATTAGTAAACACCCTGCATTCTCAGCACAGCACTGCTAATTGATTTTGGCATAAAGTGTGCCCTATATTTCTGTCCATTGGCGTGGGGTGTTTGTATTGTGATTGTTTGATTAATGATGCTTAACAAACCTGACAGCAGTCAACAGATGGGCATTTCCCCTCCCAAAGCCCCCAGCTGATCTGAGATGGTGTCGGTGGTCAAACACCATCCATCAAATGAAGAACTGGTTATTAAATTGTTTAGAAAGAGCCACCAACTCTGCAGACGCATCAATATTTTGAACATATGGTGTCTTGTTTCTCACTCAGTGGATGGGTGAGAGTATTTAAGCCGGTCATTTAATTCAAATTAAATTACTACATCATTATAGTAACACACTTGACTAATCTATCAAGAATGACAAATCCAAACAAATGTTTATAGCAGGGCTGTCCAAACTCGGTCCTGGAGGGCCGGTGTCCTGCAGAGTTTAGCTCCAACTTGCTTCAACACACCTGACTGGAAGTTTCTATGCCTAGCAAGAGCTTGATTAGCTGGTTCAGGTGTGTTTAATTAGGGTTGGAGCTAAACTCTGCAGGACACCGGCCCTCCAGGACCGAGTTTGGACAGCCCTGGTTTAGGGGGAGTTTCAGATAACATGGCCAAATCATGCATGGTTATATGCAACGTCCCTCTAATACATTTATTAGTACTTTTTTTTTAGTACATTAACTAGATCACTTAAACATGCATTTAAATGTATTACATAAATGTACCTCTAGATAGAAGCATTGTTCAATATCAACTGTCTGAAATTAACTCCATTTAATCCGCATAGAACAAATAATGTAAAACTGGCTAGAAATGAACAAATGCAATAAATAAGAGATCAAAAGCGTCATATAAATATATACATAATTATTTGCACTTTTTTATGTTAACATGAAGTACATCTATTTTATTTCTTAAAATAATCCCAAAAAAATTTTTTTATACATAAAGGTAGCTAATGTTAGATGGTAGTATATCGGGTAGTAATTTAAGATTTCATTTTTTTTATTTTTATATTGTATTAAAGCAAAATTATTCTTACTATTCTATTACAGCTCATATTATGTAGTGTTTTAAATTTTTGTTTTTGAGTAAAATGACACAATCTATCTAAAATATAACCAAGAACAGACGACATTAAGAGATGATTTGAATTTATTGTGAAATCACCAATATGAATAACACGTGGCAATATTAAATCAAACATTCATGTAGAAAGAGTCCCAATTATTTTCAGTCCAGCACTGCATCCATGTTATTTATAAACACTAAGTCTGAACACCACTGTGCAACCACATATTGTATAGAATCAAACCAGCACCAAAAGCACTGAAAGTTATGGCTGTATGAGACACATGGCAGGTCAACATCATGTATACAATATATATACTATAGCCCACACTGCTGTAGATTTTATCGCTTTCCTTGCTTCATTTGAGGTTTCCGTCCTTTGCCTTTGGGACCCTTTCCCTTTCCACCAGCCTTTCCTTTTCCTTTACCAGACATCTTTCCCCTCCGTCCCTTCTTTCCAAAGTCTTTCTTGTTCTTGTGCCTGGATTCCATGTCCTCTTCCCTCATTTGCTTATTCACAGCTTTGGTGACGTCAAGTCGTGGCTTCTTACTGTCCATCACTTTCAACAAATCCAGCTGTTTTTGTTTCTCACTACTAAAGTCACCAATAAGAGGCTGGAACTTTCTCTTTCTCCCAGTATTTTTAGGCGTCTTCTCCTTGGGCAGGTTATCCTGGAATTTACCAACAGAGGCCGTGGAGATCTTGGCGACATTGACAGCTTGTGCCAGCTCTGCTTTGGACTGCCGAGGGGTGGGTGCAAGGCCCATGCCTGGCACCTTGATCTTCTGAGCTCTGGCGATGTTCTTGAGTCTGTTGTACTCATTCCTGGCCACTCGCTCTTTCTTGGCTTTATTCCTTTTATTAAACTGGTCCTCATTGGGATCTGCATTCTCTGGGACCTCTATCAACCATTCCTTGGTGTCATCTTTGGCACGTTTGTATCCCCATCGCCTCCTCCATTCCTTATGGACTTCATCCCAGACCAAGTTGGTCTTCTTTTTCTTCTGAATGCCTTTCAGCTTGGCAAACTGTTCCCATTTTGTAGGAGGCTTTGGTTTTGGAGCAGGCTTTTCCCTGGGTAATAGAGTGGTTGGATCTGGTAGCTTGGCGACGATGACTTCTTCAACTCTTTCTGTTGGAAGTTTCCACATCTCGTTGATGAGGAGTTGAGTGTTATCTCTGGCCAATGAGCGGAGAAAGTCTTCCCGTTTGCAGTCTTTAAATTCCCGAGTGTCTATCCGGTTCTTATCAAACGCAAGCAAATTACCCGGGTCAAATTCAAGGTCTAACTCTTTGCTTACTGTAATACCTTTTAGCTTTTCAGCCTCGTCTCTTTCGGCTTTAGCGAGCACGTCTTCAAAGCTGCACGAAGCCATTTTGGTTCTGATGACACAACGTGGTTTCCTTCCCCACATGTGCTGCTGAAAGCGGAAGTTCTTTATTTCAAAATAAAAGACCTGCCAACTTAGAAAAGGAAAAAAGACGAAAATATTTAAGCAAATAAAAATGCAATATGTTTTTATACATCATGTTTTAGAAAAACAATAATATCTACTATAATAGTGTCTATGTATTATTATAACAAGATCAAATAGGCCAATAAAACTTCGGCGGTAGGAAGGAGTACCGATACAGTTGCGGGACGTCCCATCGGCTCTGTGGCGCAATGGATAGCGCATTGGACTTCTAGGTTGATGAATGAGGTCATTCAAAGGTTGTGGGTTCGAGTCCCACCAGAGTCGAAGCTTTTGTTTTCAGAAACTATAAAAGTGGCCATATGCCAGAAGTTACCTTGAGTGTTCGGAGATACGATTCAACCAAACACGGTTCAGTGATTCACTCCGAGAATATGTGGAGTTTATAGATGAACTGAACAGATGCGGTTTAACGCTATGGAGCGTTACGTTCGATACTTACGATCAAATATTAAATCTATTCATATTTATCACTTCTATGTGAATATGTTAGGATTATTTAACGTTTTTTGAAGAACAATAACATACATAGAGGTAGTAGATCGACTAAAATGGTTACATTTATACAGATCAACAACAAACAGATTGTAAAAATGTCAGTTTTAAATGGAGACGAATGGAAAATTGTTTCATGTTATTTAGTGTTATTATTTATTATTATCTCATGTAATTTATTTCATATTTAGTTCATATTCACATTTGTTTTACTGTCGTGTATTAAACTGATTGTGTTTTACATTTGTGTTGGTTATGTTTGTCAGGTGTTTAGAGCCCACTCTGTGTCAAAAAAAAATAAAATAACAATATGTTCCATTGTTTTTGGCTACTGCATGCAAAAATATAAGTCTCAGTAAATAACAAATTCTATTAGAAATGCGCAATTATTTTTCCAACTATACAAATAAAGTGATTTCTAACTGTAATAATTAAAAACTCAATACATTCGTAAAGTAATATGTGGTCTAAAAACGAACTGAATCAGGTTTGTCTAAACAACTCGGATCATTGAACTTTTTTTTTGTTTGTTTAAAAAAAAAATTTTTTTATTAGACATTAAAGACATAACATGCAACCGGATCATTGAACTGGTTCAGATTGGTCGGCTGCTGATGTCGTCATATCCGCTGCTCGAGTTTCCCCGGGAAGACACTTTGGCGCGGAATCTGTTGTTTTGGCTCGGCGCTTCTGAAGACGACTGAAATTTGACTTCATATCAGGCACTAATTTATATTAATGGCTCCTGTCTCAAGTCCTGATAAAGACATGGACGGTGGAGATTGTGGTGAGCGTGTATACAGAATATTAATGCAATTAATTCAGACAGGCAGCTTATTGGATGCCTGTACAGACGGCGCTAATATAATATGAAATATAATGAACTAATATACCTGCACCAATTGCTAAAATATGCGTTTATGCAAATACGTGAAGTGTAATATACTTTTGTTGAGTAATTATGATGCTTCAGTCTTTGAATGTAAATTGAACATGGCGTTTCACATTGTCACAATGTTTCATTTTGTAAACGTTACGCTTTCATAATTGACACATAAATACTTTAAATGATCGGTTTGTAACTATTTCCTGTATGTAATAGACTATGACCTGAATCTTTATACATTTGCATGAACATATTGTTAATAAATATGTTTGATAAAAATGTGTACCTCGGGCCTCCTTAGTTGTTGTTATAATAATAACAATCGTAAAATCAGGGGTTAATTGTTTTGGTTTCATATCTGAAATCTGCACAAATAGTTTTATTTTTAGAAATATATTTGTATATATGACAGTAAAAACATTATCAGACATTTTAATTATATAATTATTTTTTATATTATGTATATATATAAAACATTTTTAACTTTTTTTTTTTTAGATATATTTTTTTAATATTAATACAATTATACAGAATATGTGCTGTAACTCCATAATAGTTTTTGCTGGAAAATTATAACAATGATTTGTTTATAATCTTCCATTCATTTTAATTTCATGTGTCACTCTTGACCTGTCATTTTGCAGTTTTTCTATATAGTATGTTTAAACTTAATGCAGTTTGATTTTACTGAAGCACATTTCTTTGTCCTATAGACACATCCGACACATGTGGCATTGCCACTTCACGTTCCAGGCGGGAGAAAAAAGAGAAAGTGGGGCGCAAGTCGGCTTTAGAGCAACTTAAACGAGCCAAGAAGGGAGAGAAGGTTAAATACGAGGTGAGTTGCATGCCAGCTTTTAGTGTTTTCTTGATGTACACATCTTCTGTGTTGTTCCAGTGTTTTGACATTGTGTTCTGATCAGGTGGAGGAGTTCACCAGCGTCTATGAGGAGGTGGATGAAGAGCAGTACTCGAAAATGGTGCGGGAGAGACAGGATGATGATTGGATCATTGATGATGGTCAGTCAAATTTTCATACTTCTACTGACCTCAGTGCTTAAATGGGCACCAGCTGAATGTCTGTTGTCTTTGACAGATGGGACAGGGTATGTGGAGGATGGCAGAGAAATCTTTGATGAAGATTTGGATGATGACGCATTGGAGAAGAATTCTAAAAGTAAGTTCTTTTATTTTCTGTCACTTTGCAATATTAAGCAGTTTTCCCTGAATTGTCTTTACCAGTTATTTTTGCTCTCTATTTAACTGTAAACAGGTAAACAAGGTGGAAAGGGAGGGGATTCGAAAAAGAATGTGAAAAAAGTGTCTGTCAGTAAACCCAACAGCATTAAAAGCATGTTCATGAATAGCAATGTGAAGAAACCTGCTGAGGTATGAGTCACTTAGCCACTTTGTTCCCAGTTTGGTTTTTTGCATAACATAGGCCTTTATGTAAATGTTTAATTCAAAGATTAATTAAATGAACCTGCACTTAAATATGAAGGAATGTTCTGTCATTATTTGGCATCTGCAATGAAGGTCAGACAGGTATAATAGAATCGTCTTTACAATGTTTGCATTCTAGAAACACGTGGATTTGTCTCAAGATGATCTGCTGGGAGATATTCTGCAGGACCTGCACTCTGAGGTGAATGTTTATGACCTTTTGTATCAAATCAATAGCTTTCTACTTTTAATACAGGCATCTTGTAGGTGCTTTCTATCTACAGTGTTTGCACTACAGTATATCAGTTATTGCAGGTATATGACTACATAACCATTTGAATGTTTCACAGAAACCAGTTTTGCTCACTCCACCACCAGTCATTACATTGAAGAAGAAGAAAACACTGGGATCGCCTATGAATCCATTTTCAGTCAAACCACAGGTGCCAAAGGTAGTCATTATAAATTGCAATAATATTTCACAATATTACTATTTTTACTGTATTTTTGATCAAATAAATCCGACCTTAGTGAGAATCAGAGACTTTTTTTGATCTTTTGATTAGTAGTGTACATAAGAAGATGCATTCATTTAGACTTATTTACATTGTGTTGGATTAGAATGTAAAAAAACTCTATTATTTCTATATTAAAACCCTTTGTTTATCTCTCAGGAGTCACCTGGAGTCCAAATGTCGAAGCCCAGACCTGTGGTGACGCGGGTTCCTCCAGCTGACCCTTCACCCAGGTCTTCTGCTCACATTCAACTTAGGAAACCAGCTGCTACACAGATAAAGAAGCCCCAAGCAGAGGAGCCTGATGGTATATCTGCCCTCCTTCCTTCCTACAGACTTTAGGTGCAATTTCTTAAAGAGGTCATATGATGCTGCTAAAAAGAACATTATTTGGTGTATTTGGTGTAATGAAATGTGTTTATGCGGTTTAAGGTTAAAAAAACACATTGTTTTCCACATACTGTACATTATTGTTTCTCCTCTATGCCCCGTCTTTCTGAAACGCGTCGATTTTTTACAAAGCTCATCGGTCTGAAAAGCGAGGTGTGCTCTGATTGGCCAGCTATCCAGTGCGTTGTGATTGGCCGAATACCTCAAGCATGTGATGGAAATGTTACGCCCCTTGCCATATTGTGATGCCCTGTCCCGGCCGGAGCAATGAGACAAAACATTAAAACCCATTATAAACAAGGCATTTGTTGCATCCAGTGGGGACATAATTATGACTTTTTTTTTTTTTTTTTGATACTGTCTTTTTACGCGTTGCATCACGCCGTGTAAACATAAAACCATGTCTGCATTTGTGATCGGAGAAATGACAAACAACAAGCCCTACTCTACACTGCTCAAAACTCACGTTTGAATCATCAGTGGCAAATTCTTTATATATAAAAAAACTTACTTACAGTCTGTGAGTTAGAACAGCCGGCATTGTAGTCTACTCTACCAGGATCAGGAAACAGTCCTCCATAAAATGTGCTGCACACATCTGAATATTTGGGTTGAAGTGTTCTGGAACAGTGTTGTAAATACAACTTAACCAGTTGTAATTTCTAGTCGTGTCCTCTTTTGGAAGGTCAAGCAAAGTAGTTTCGCTTTCACAACGAAACACAGCGTCACACATGGTGGCCTTGAGTGAGCAGAGGCTGGGTACTAGAGTGAGCAGAGGCAGGGGGCTAGAGTGACCGGTGGCCGGGGGCTAGAGTGAGCAGAGGCCGGCGGGCTTGTGGCAACCACATGTGACGACCCCGGGCTGGAATCTGCTTCGTCCACGATGAATGCCGATCCGGCAATCCACAGCACGAAGTTGATGTATGTCCTCAGCGACCAGCACAGATCGGTTCCAGGCATATCGGTGGATATCGTTCTCTTTTGGAAGACCAAACAAAGTAGTTTTGCTTTCACAATGAAACAGACAGCGTCTTCACGACATAGCGGCGGCGGAGGCAACAACAATACTACAGCGAGAATAAAAGTTACGCCTTCTTTCTTTGCGTGAACATTTGGGTGGCATTATGCAAATCTTCCCACATCGTGACGTAGACATGTGGGGGCGTGTTAGAACGAGCCATTTTAGGTAGGCGTGGTTGACTCTTAACTTTTAAAAGAATATCTCTTTGGATTTGAGACTTTAGTCTTTGCAACTTTACAGATCTTCTTTATGCACCAAGAGCTTGTAACACTTCAAAGAGAAAGGAAAAATTGAAATCGCATCATATGACCCCTTTAAAAAATGTATTGCTTTTAATTGCAATTTAAATTTGTATTTAGAAGAGGCAATTGAGTTTGATGAGATGGACTTTGATGAGCCCATGGAGGCAGAGAATGTTGAGGAGGAGCCAGTGAAAGTGAAGGCGGAGCTTGAGACCTCCACTGTGGAGCCCAAGACTGAGCCACAGGATGAGATGTTAATGTATGTCTGCAACACACAGGCTTTGAATTAAGAATTGTCTTTATATTGATTGATGTGACAGTCCTCCTACAGAGAAAGCCGTTTTCTGCCATAAACATCTTTGCGCTCCTCAGATCCGGACTGGGTGGTGGCATGGGCTGGGAGAAGATTGAGGAGGGGGAACTCAACGAGGCTCCTGTGGAAGTGCAGGTGGACTCCAGCCAACTCCCGCTGGTGGAGGGACCTGACGGAGATATGGTCTTCCGCTTCTACTGGTTGGATGCTTTTGAAGACCAGTACAACCAACCTGGTGAGCATCTCCTCCTCCATGATTTTGCATAATACATGTGCATACAAATCCATTCTAATAGTTTTAGCTCTTTTCTGTGACCCATAATTGACGGTTATATATTTGCTTTGACTTCAAATGCCCAATTTACCCAAGTTTTCCTTCTTATTCCTACAGAATTGCAATTATTTGATAACCTTAAAAGTGGTGTTGTACAGTTTACTTGTGTTTTCCTCTCCAGGTGTGGTGTACCTGTTTGGAAAAGTCTGGATTGAGTCCGCTAAAGCACATGTCAGCTGTTGTGTTGCTGTAAAAAACATTGAGAGGACGATGCATCTCCTTCCCAGAGAACATGTAAGACCACCTTTTAGTTGATGTGCATATACAAAACATGTACCTTTAATTAACTTTTTTTAAAATTGTTGCTGTGATTTTAGAAAGTGAATTTGGCAACTGGCGAGCAGACAGACTGTCCAGTAGGAATGATGGATGTGTATCAGGAGTTCAACAGTCTGTCTGAGAAGTTCAAAATTATGAAGTTTAAGTCCAAGGTAATTGCTAATGCCTATCATTTCTGTTTTCTGTGCCTTTGGTGCTACAAATATGAAGTTATAAACTGTGCTTCCCCTGTTCCAACAGCCAGTGACAAAGAACTACGCTTTTGAAATCCCAGATATACCCTCACAGTGCGAGTACCTTGAAGTCAAATACTCTGTGAGTAGACATCTCTCACTTATACACTCAAAACAGTCATGTCTATTTTAGAGAAACTTCCTAGAATCTTGGCGTCTGAGACATTTTTTGTGATGTGTATAGGCCCTTTCGCACCGCTTTAGTTCCAGAACTAAACGTACGGTACTAAAGTACTGGGACGATTTTGCGCGAACTATTTCCCAGTACCATTTAAAGGGTTGCATTCGCACCAACAGTGTATACTAAGAAGTAACGTAAGCCGGTCGACAGCGACGTCATATGTGCGCGGCGTTCAACAACAGAAACAAAGAAAAACAACATTAACAACAGGAGGATGGAGGACGCTGTGATCGGAGCGGTGTTTGTTGTGTCTCGCGGGTTTCACAGTGGACATGGAAAGTCGACGTATAAGTAAAGCGACTGAAAGAACGGAAAGGGTGGGTGAGGGCGTTTTCATACGCGTTTGGCCAATCAATGTCTACTTGCGTCACGATTAGTACCAGTTGTGCTGGTTAGACCCTGCTCCGGAGTAGGAGCTAATTTGGTTCTCGAAAAAGGCAGTCCGGTACTAAAATCGCTCCCAGTTCCGGTGGTGTGAACACGCCGAAAAGTGGGTAGTTCCACAATTAGTTCTGGTACTATGAAAAGGTTCCTGCGGTGCGAAAGGCCCTTATGTTGTGTTTCTGTAGGCTGAACTTCCTCCTTTGCCATCTGAGCTGAAGGGTTCTACATTTTCCCATGTGTTTGGAACCAACACCTCTAGTTTAGAACACTTCCTCCTTAACAGGAAGATCCGGGGGCCTTGCTGGCTTGATGTGAAGACCCCTCGTGAGTCTTTCTTTAAAAATATACAAACATACCATTGCTCTGTATTTCCTGTAAGTATTTCCAGGTAAAACTGGATAATTGTCCAGATACTTTAATCATTAACTGTGTCCACTCTCACTGTGCCCTCTAGAGTTGAGCAATCAGCCTATTAGCTGGTCTAAGGTGGAGGCTGTTGCACAGAAGATTGACCTGATCTCAGTAGTTAAAGACCTGTCGCCGCCTCCTCTTGTCGTCATGTCTATAAGCCTTAAGACTGTGCAGAACCCAAAGACTCACCAGAATGAGGTAAAATCTGGGTCTGATACCTCTGACCTGTCTGCAGGTCTCTGATGACTGATTATTGAATCATTCCCCATTAAGTCGTAGCTCAGCTGCAGTATGGCTTTAAAGGAGTTAATTATCACTTCTTTTGCTTGTGTCTTGCCTTGAGCAGATTGTTTCCCTCGCTGCCCTCATTCATCATAAATTCCCTCTGGACAAAGCTCCACCACGGTCCCCTTTCCAGACCCATTTCTGTCGTGAGTTCCTTCACTCTGCAGTTTAATATGCATGTGAGAGTAATACCCTACACATAAAGTCCAAAACTGTCTTGGTTTAACCCTTATAACACATTCAGGTCATTTGAGTCAGAAGAGATTATTTCATATATTTCATATATCTATGAGTTATGAATTTTTCCCACTCAGGCACTTTTGGGACTGAATTTTCTTGCTAAATATGAGTATGCATGCTCAAACATACTATAAACAGACAGCAAATGTATGTGATAAACAAACTTGATCAAATAAACTACATTTGAAAGGGATGACAAAAGACTAAATAGTCTAAATTTGAAAAGTAATGGAGGTTTGAAAAAGTGGACATTTTACTGCTGCTACCTATTGATATTCAACCATTGAAGCATGAAAAATGTATAATCTTTTCATCTTAAAAGTGAAAGTCTATGCAAGTAAAGTTAATACACCTTATTTGAAAACATTCTAGAGTAATTGTTGTTTTGATGTTTTATTAGAAAAATAATGTTTAGATTTTATGTATTTGGTTATAGTCATCAGTTATTTGACTTATACATGTTCTTATAGATTTCATATAACTATATATTCAAATTAGGTTTCTCAAATATTGATAGTTATTTCTTGCATTACACAGGTTTTGTTATACTTCATGTATGGTTTGAAATAAGAAGAATTTCTCTTTTTTTAATTAATAAGTATAGTAATAATATGGTAACAAACTTTGAAATGTTTACATATTCAATCATTAAAGAGAAGTTGTTCATTATATACATTTTGTTGTTATGACTTAAATCTAAATAAAATCCAATGTCAAAACTGACTGACCCGGAATGCAAAAATATTTAGTTTTTCATGCATTATAATGGTTAAATTTAAACCGAGTCATTTTATTAATATCACAGCTTGTGTTTGGAGTGTGTAACTAATTATTTTCTGTTGCAGTGGTGAGCAAGCCCAGCGACTGCATCTTTCCATATGACTTTAAAGATGCAGTTAGAAAAAAGGTATTTTGTTCTTATCTATCAGATGAAGCTTGCTTTGTTTTGGAATTATGAATGAAATAATGCGTTTAATAAACCCCTGATGTTTTTGTCTGTTGATTTGATTCAGAACGGTATAGTGGAGATTGCTGGTACAGAGCGTACACTTCTGGGCTTCTTCTTGGCCAAGATGCACAAGATCGATCCAGATGTGTTAGTTGTGAGTTCAAATGCATGCATTCACCTGTTGTGTTGCTGGTGCATTTCATTTATTTTTTCTAATTCGACCACATCTTCCTTTTGATGCTGTAGGGGCATGACATCTTTGGATTTGACCTTGAAGTGCTCCTGCAGAGAATCAATGTGTGCAAAGTGCCTCACTGGTCAAAGATCGGCCGTCTAAGAAGAGCCAACATGCCCAAACTGGGGGTGCGACGAATTCAATGAGGACTGGAAGTCATATGAGATTATGATTTTTTTAAATCATGTTTTAATCCATTTGTGCATTTTTTTTCTTTTTTTTATCTCAGGGTCGCAGTGGCTTTGCTGAGAAGAGTGCCACTTGTGGACGCCTGGTTTGTGATGTTGAGATCTCTGCCAAAGAACTGATCTGCTGTAAGAGTTATCACCTGACTGAGCTGGCTGCCCAGATCCTAAAGACAGAGAGGGTGGTGGTGCCACCAGAGAACATCAGGAACTTCTACAGGTTAATTGCCACCTGTATGGTTGAACTCGAGTCCTTGCTTCAGATCCTCATCGCGGCAGTATTTTAATTTTTCTGTCGGTTTTTCTGTCGGTTTCTTTCTCTCCTTTTTCAATAGTGATTCCCCGCACTTACTCTACCTTTTGGAGCTTACCTGGATGGATGCCAAGCTAATTCTGCAAATCATGTGCGAGCTGAATGTGTTGCCGCTAGCATTGCAGATTACTAACATTGCCGGTAACGTCATGGTAAGATATCTCGACAAACTACATCCTAGCTTGGCTCTTTTATTACAATTAGTATAAAACACACAAATGATAAAACACATAATTCATTTATTAATGATGCATGCATGTATGTCATGCTTTTCTCTTTTAATGCTTGTTCTCTCACAGTCTCGTACTCTGATGGGAGGGCGCTCTGAGAGGAATGAATACCTACTGCTCCATGCTTTCCATGAGAAGAACTTCATTGTCCCAGACAAACAATTCTTCAAGAAGCCACAGCAAGATCTGGTATCAGATTCCTTCCTCCATTATTGCAGCTATCACACCATTTAACCTTAATTGATACTACTTGTGAACTTTTCATTTTAATTCTGTTCTCAGGCTGAGGATGGGAATATTGACTCAAGGAAGGGCAAGTCCAACAAAACAAGGAAGAAGGCAGCATATGCTGGAGGTCTGGTGCTGGACCCAAAAGTTGGTGAGTCACAATGTCCTTGTGCATATCACTGGTTGCATTTTATGTTTGTGCCTCCCAAATAGGGATGGGTACTGAAACCCGGTTGTTAATCGGTCCTGGGGCTAAATTATTAAAGACCGGAGTATCGATAAGCTCTGACGTTAACGGTTCTGCTATCGTTACTGGATAAATTAAGAAAACACACATATATTATTATTGCTATATATATTATCTTGCAAATTCTATCTCACCTGAGTCGCCAGCTGTTTTTCAAACATTTGTCTATGATGCATTTTTGCTATTCACAATTCAGAAGCGAGATCGCGCTCACGCGGAGGAGTTTCAGCACGCGCAACATGAAAGCCCTGTTTAATTATGATAGAAGAGAGAACTAAACATTCAAACATCTACTTACACTTTAGGCTTGTGGCTGTTTTATTAAGCTAATTTTATTTTTTTGTTTCGATTTTGACTTCTAAGGATTATACAAAAGAAGTGAGGTAAAGCTATTAAAAACTAGCTGGGTTTCGTCTTGCACAACTTCTTTCCCTTCACAGCGGTGTGCATTCGTTCCTCCCTAAAACCCAAACTTAACGTCAGAATCAGCTCAATCGGTGATAGTTGTAAGATGCTGTCTGTACTGTTGCTAAATTGCGGGACATGTTTGATGATAAAATGTTGAAAGCACAATCCGCACAAGAGATGCTGTTCCTCAGGCTGAAATGTGTGCACGCGGCGCACTCCAAAACGGACAAACAAATTACACTTTGAGCTTCATACATATTAAAACTATGCGGTGTTCATTTACATTTGATTACTTTTAGATTTCTTTTGTAGGCTATTACTTACCTGAACAGTAATATTAGTAGAACTTCATGAAAAAAAATGAAAGCACTGTTTATTTCATTTCATTTGCATATTTGTTTTATTGTATTTGTCAGTTTGTTTTACTTTGTTTCTTTGTTCATGTTCTTACTGTATCTTATCTTATGTATAAAACACTAAAAATGCCTGCACACTGGTGCATTTACAAATTGATGTTTTATATTCATTTCATTAAATATTTTACATTTCAGAATATAAAGCAATGTTAATTCAGCTCTCTATTTGTCATTATATATATATTTATATATAAAAATCGATAAGTAGTATCGGTAAGAGTAGTAATACTGTTAAGACCTTAACGATACCCATCCATAATCCCAAATTATCTATTTTATCTTCTTCCATCAGGTTTCTATGATAAGTTCATTCTCCTGTTGGACTTCAACAGTTTGTACCCCTCCATCATCCAGGAGTTCAACATCTGCTTTACTACTGTTGAGAGAGGAGCGACCAATGCACACAAGAAAACTGAGGTGCGTTGGGGGTGGTTGGCTTTGCCTGCATGGGTATGATTATGTATTTTGAGCATGCCCTAAACTACTTCCATGATTACAGGAGGATGACGATGAAATTCCCGAGTTGCCAGATCAGAGTCTGGAGATGGGCATTCTTCCCAAAGAAATTCGGAAACTGGTGGAGCGTCGACGACAGGTCAAACACCTAATGAAGCAAGCGGACCTCAACCCCGATGTGTACTTGCAAGTAAGTACAATCCCAGGCAGGACTTCAATGCCTTTCTGTATTGATAACACAGCCCTCTACATTGCGAATAAATCACTCGCATATGTGACTAAATCTTCACTCTGGTCGACTAAATGATGTTTAATATTAGCCACTGGCTAATAAATTCTCAGATTTTACTCGCCAGTGTGAGTTGGAAGCTGAGTATAAGTTTAGCACAGATATATTTTCACTCGCCGAACACTCTGACTTGAGTGCTTCAGAGTTTCATTCTGTCAAGCGATCTGTGCTATTTTTAATTTCATCGCGCAGCGCACCTGTATTTGACGTAACGTAAACTCTAGTGTGAAAGCGCATGACTCGCTGTCGCTTTGTCTCACACACACAAAGAAAGAGACAGAGCGAGTGAATCTTACATACCATGCAAAATTGATGCACTACATGTAAACGATGTTCTTTGTATTTTCCTGTCCAAATAACAAAAGCTCCTTTTGGAATTCTTCAGCTTTTAAGAAATTCTGGGTTCTCCGGTCATGGGCAGAACTAATGCGCGATCGGCAATCTCATTGGCTGGCGCTCACCTATTATTGTCCTTGTTTTGATTTCAGCACATCAGTTTGAGCGAATGCAGACAATGTTATTGATATTCATGAATTCAGCAGCTAATTAATCCTTAGTGCATTTCATATTGTTTTTAGTAGTAGAATTTGTAGTATTATTATTAGTTTTTTTTTATAGAACCACTGAATGACCAAAAAAGCACCACCACCAGTCCATTCAGTTAAAATGACTAATATTCATTCATACATGGTTACCAGGTTTTAATTCTAATTACTGAAGTTCTATCATTAAATAACACTTGATTATCATATCATATTATAATGCTTGACTGACTGATGTTAAGAGTGTACTTTCAGATATTTATATATATATATATATCTATATCAGTCTGGCGAGTAAACTAAAAATGTACTTGCTAATGGCTATTCAATTGCCAAGGTGTCTGTAGAGGGTTGTAACAGGCTGTCAGTTTGGCAAGTTTTTTTCTAGCTTTGCCAATATCATATTTTTGTTTTAAAACACTGCATGCAGGCCTTGATTAATCTTTTCTCTTAGTATGATATCAGGCAGAAGGCCCTGAAGCTGACAGCTAACAGCATGTATGGATGCCTTGGCTTTTCCTTCAGTCGCTTTTACGCCAAACCGTTGGCTGCATTGGTCACTCATAAAGGAAGAGAGGTATGTAACAGTACACAATCCTGTATTTAATGGGTATACAACATTCTGTTTAGATCTGCTCTATTTAAATAGAATGTAACAAAGACCTTGAGTCCCCCCTTTTTTAGTGTCTTGTATCATTTACTTTACAAAAAACATTGTTTTTATTTTTTTTTCTGTCCATATTGCTGTAAGAGGTTGTAAATTGCAAATGCATGCATTTTTTAAAAGCAGTTTTTGCCAACATTTAGATTATATAAGCATACATATGACTTTAAAGGGATAGTTCACCCAAAAACGAAAATTTGATGTTTATCTGCTTACCCCCAGGGCATCCAAGATTGTAGGTGACTTTGTTTCTTCAGTAGAACACAAACAAAGATTTTTAACTCAAACCGTTGCAGTCTGTCAGTCATATAATGGCAGTCAATGGGCTCCACGGCTTTGAGAGTAAAAAAAAAAAACACACCGACAAAACCAAATTAAACCCTCCGGCTTGTGACGATACGTTGAGGTCTTAAGACACGAAACGATCGGTCTGTGCAAGAAACTGAACCATATTTATATAAAAAAAATTTTTTACCTCTGATCCACCGCAATGTCCAACTGTCCTGAGCGCGTTCACAACATCCGACGCGAGTACGTGCTCTGGCATAGTAGACATAGATATATGCAAGTGGATGCCTCATTAGTGATTGTTTCTATGGTCCGCGATATGTTCCAAAATGGCGGACGTGTCAACGTATCTGGAGTGGTCGAATAGGGAATCTATACATATCTATGATAGTAGACGCATGTGCGGAAGCGATCTGTCGCGCGTATACGTCACTCATTATTTACACCATGCAGAGAGATTGCGAGATTGTTCTCTGGCACTGCGATGATCTAAAGATATTTAAAAGTACAGGTCATCACAATGGAAGACGATTTTGATATATCATCAGACAATGTGGAATTTTTGCCCAACTGTATTTATTTGACGTCACGCGCCAGATGTTGTGAACACGCTCAGGACAGTTGGACATTGCGGTGGATCAGAGGTAAAAAAATTATATAAATACGGTTCAGTTTCTTGCACAGACCTCAATGTATCGTCACGAGCCGCAGGGATTCATTTGGTTTTGTCTGTGTATGTTTTTTTTTGACTCTCAAAGACGTGGAGCCTATTGACTGCCATTATATGACTGACAGACTGCAACGCCCCCCCCATTTCTTTAACATCTCATAGGAGTAAGGTGCTTTTTAATTCTTGTTACTGGCCACTGTGTAATATTTTGGGTTCTTTTTGTACCTACGGTGCAATGTTATTTTAGTATTATTTATATACTATTATATATTATAGTTTTTATTAATATTTTCAATTAGCTTTTAATTTTATGTATTCAGTTTACATTTTTTGTATCTTTTTTATGAAACCGCAGTTTTAACTAATTTTAGTATTGAAGTTTGTGATTTTTATGGTGCTTTTGTCTTTAGTTTTATTTATATTTCTATTTAGCATGATTTTTTTAAATTTTAGTCACCCCCCCCCCCCCCCACCTCTCCCCTGAATTTTTTAAAATTTTTTACCCCCCCCCCCCCCAAATATATCTATTTGCATTTGTTTTAATACAGAACAATACATAAATAAAAAAAATATATACATAAAAGAAAACACATACCTTATAAGAACAACACCCCCCCCCCTCCAAAAGGGAACAAAAAACATCTCCAACTATACCTTTCCATACACCACCATTCACAGCCATCCATTTTACAATTTAACTGTTACCTTTTCCGAGTTATTAGTTATTTTGATAAAGAAATCACATTATGTAGTGGAGATACCAAATACAAAAGAGATGAGTATTATTTATATATATATATATATATCAGTCGTCCCCCGTTGTCAAGTCATCTTGGTTACAATAGTGTAAAAAAGGAGTCCAAATATTGTAGAAGTCTTTGTTTCCCTTTAACTGCGTAAGTCAGCTTTTCCATGGCAAGGTTGTCAGTCATTTCTTTAATCCAAAGCATAGAGGAAGGACCTTGTATCTCCTTCCATTTTAAAGTAATAGCCCGCTTGGCCTGAAGCAAACTAAAGTCAATTAGTTTGCGTTTATTGGTGTTCACCACAAAATTTACTGGGTATATATGAAATAAACTAATTTGAGTAATTTAGTACTTTTCAACTTTTCAGTTAGTTGCCTAAGCAACATTTCTAATTTGTCTAAATAAAATATTTATTTTATCTTATTTTAATTAAAAATGATTTGTAATAGTTTAAGTTTTAGTTAACAATAACAACACTGCTATGGTATGACATGTTTTGTTCATCTTGTTTCTCAATATGAGGTCATAAAACTAGATGTAAAATAATGATGCAGTGTTTAGTTAGTTTACATTTTAAAAATAGTTTGAAATGGATTTACATGAAGTATACCTTGTTTTATTACATATCTTGCCATTCATTAACCACAGGTACCATCTACAGTTACTGCCACTAGAGGGCAGTCTAAACCCATCCATAACCGTGTGTCCATGTGAGCTGCTCCTCTGGCTCTGATTTCACTCGCCTCCTCATGAGCCTCTGTTCTCTTTTGTGCTTTAACCAATTTGACTTGATCTCTTGTTCCTTTTATGCCACCTCCTTGGCATGATAGCTGGCTACCTGCTCTTGACTTTAATGAGGCCAGACTTTGAAAGCCCACCAGGGTGTAACTATACAAACGGCGACACATTCACGCTCCTACCCCACTCCCTTCTTCCACAGTGTCGCTGGGCGTTGTGGGGCATTGTTTGAAATGTGGGGGGGGGGACCAATAATTACAATCTCTTTGCATTAGCCCCAGCATTCAACACAGGTTTTCACTGCTTCATTTGTTACAAGAAGAGCTACCAAAAACCCAGTAAATTCAGTGAGGAGAAAAAAGGAATGCTTGCAACGTTGATTTTTGCATTTGAAAATTCAGTTTTGCAGTATTTAAACCACTTCACTGAAGTCTGACGATATTAATAATGCGATTCTTCATTTCTACGAGCCCAGCTTGACTCCACAACCTTAATTACTTTGATTAGGCTTATTGTGATGCATATTCTCCACTGTCAACCAGCATGATGCTGAACTATACACTAAGATGTTTTGGTAGGGTTCAATGGGAAATGGAAGGGGGACGGTAGCAACAAATACTCACACGTACTTGCGTTACGTTGACCCTGACATTAGTGGCGTGATGTGAATGCTTCTGTATTCAGTTGCCATTTATATTTTGATTGAGGGCCTTCTTTATCTGTTGAGAACAGTTAGCGATAGGCTTTGGTGTTGCGGATGTAATTTTTTCCATGGCGATAAAGATGCTTGATTTGGCCCCTGTTCGGATGCCCTCCTGAGCTTCTCGTCTTTCCTTATTGGCCCTACGGTAAGGGGATCTAGACAAGCCCCCGGTGATTCTCAGCTTGTTGAAATATGCAGGTTCTCAGAGCCGTGATGGAGATGACGGCTGTTTGGCACCAGCATCTGAGGGATTCACTGCACGATGTGCCGTTTCAAACTTTTAAGAGGGCAAGAAGTCAAAGAGGCAATTTTCTTTTCATGTCTTCCGTTGGTGCCAGACACGCAGAACGTGGATCGTAACCGTTGTCTAATTTGACAATTGGGTTTTACGATCGTCAAACACTAAATCCTGTCAGTCAGATGGTGCGTCGGTCTCGTCTTCTGATGGATGGTCTGCTGTCTGCACCATCATTGTTTTGGGATAAGAATTACAGGCGCTCTGCTTTTAATAGAGTTAACTAATACTTTCTGAGAAGCTAGCTTAGTGCTAACCTCCCACAGGGGTGTAAATTCAGCCAGCAGGTGTTGTAAAGTGGGTTGAAGTCTAGAGGTGCCGCAAGAGAGAAAGTTTTGAGCTTTATTTGCTGGTTGCTTTGAGTGAAGGAATAGGGTCGGTTTCTTAAAGCAGGGGTAACATCCCTTTTAAATTTCATGATCCCCCTGCGAGGGACTCTGAAATAAAAAAGCAAGTATGTGCATTTCCATTTGTACTGTATTAGAAAAGTTTTGTATGCTTGATTTTTTTTTTTTTAGCTCCAAATTTTCATATTAAAATAAGAAAATATATATTTTTTTGTTATTATTTATTTTTATGAAAATAATGTTTTATTCCAACTGTTTTACTGCATGTGATCAAATAAATGCAGCCTTGGTGAGCATGAGTAGGCCTGTCACGATGATAACTTTTTGTTATGCGATATATTGCCCCAGAAATAGTTGCGATAAGTGATATTATTGTCATTTTAAAGACCATTTTATGCCACTGAATATATAATCATAATGTAACAGCATAATAATGCAAGAAGGCCTCCACACTTCCAAATGACAACAAACATTTAATTTAAGAATATTTAGATATTAAATATCAAAATATTAGATACCTGAATAAATAGTAAATAAGCATTTTCTAACAAAAAGTGCAGAGTAACAAGTAGAAAAAAAGAAAAATGCATAAAGATTTTCCCTGACCTTCTTTTCTCTATAAAATAAGGGTGCACATTATTGCTGAAAAACACAATCACTACTTAGCAGTCAGATGTCCGTATGCACAAAAGCACCGATCCCTAAACAAGACCACATCTGCAGATGAAACTTTGTTTGTAGAAGCATTTTTTAAATTTGAATTAGCACCTCATGACTACACCACGCTATGTATGAGAAGCTGCAAAAGACACTGGCGCAAGTGGAATGTACAAAACATGGTGACATTAATTTTTAAGTAAATATAATGGGCGGTATATTGCGTCACCAAAAATTATTGAGGTCATGTACATGTATTGCGCGATAAGTCGATATATTGATTATTGCGACAGGCCTAAGCATGAGTCTTTTTTTTTTTTCCAAAAGAAAATTACATAGATATAATATTTATATCTACATACACATAAAATGACTAATCTCTTGATTTTGGGCCAGTCTTTAGAAATAAGAATGAATTTTTTTTATATACAGTGGGTACGGAAAGTATTCAGACCCCCTTCATACATTT